AAAAAAAAAAAAAGAGTTCTAGTGGATGATATAGTTCACTGGTTGCCCGGTTGTGCCAAAGCTTAATTCAATCATTAAAGGGGCAGTTGACCCTGGCATGACCTGAGTGTACCGAGTGCCAATTCAGCAACACCCAGCCTCGTATTTTTTCCTTAGATACTTTTTTCACTAATTGAGCCCGCAGAACTCTGTTAATTCGCTGAGCTCTATTCAATTAATTTCCCTATCTTTTTCTGACATTTTAAGACAAGGGAATTTTCATACCTCAGCTGGACTGTTAACTCCTAGAGAGAGATTCACATCAACCCATGCTCTTTTTTTATATTATTCTAAAAGCTTTGGCAGGAGCTTGGGAAGATGTCAAGGTAGGAGGTAGATGGCAGACATGCTGGCAAAAGGATGTAAACATCTGCTCACCCTGGTGAGTAGAACTTGGCTTAATGTGCGATTTTCTCATGCATTGGTGCAAATGCTGTGTGGTATGTGTAACTGCAGTGGTCTCTTAACTGTTCAAAGGATAGCTGTAAGACGTTTCCATTAACTGCATGACACCTGGTGAGGCCTATTCCCTTTCGCCTACTGAAGGAAGGGCTCTTTGAGCTCCCAAAAGGGCTGCCCAAGACTCATCCTATCACCATTTTTTCACTTCTATTGTTGCTGCCAGTTTCACCAGAACTTGTGATTGGAATTGACTAATAAAGATAAAGATTAAGGTCTACCTAGCTGTGACCATGTGGGAAGCTCTATTGCTGAGCTTTACCTACATAAACTTCGTAGCTTAGAAACCAAAGCAGACTATGGACTGCAGCACTCTTTGGATCTCTGATATATTTGCATTGCTGCAGTAGAATGAGGAACCAAAATAGTTGGATTCATTGTATCTATTTCATGCAAACTTTCTGAGATGGCATAAAAGCATCCATTTGTGAAATCAGTTTTGCTTGTCTTCATGAGTTTTTGGACCATGAGAAGGGCTCCTGAGCAGTTTTACATAATTATAAAAAGTCAAATTAATGGTTTAGTTAAAATTAGACTTCAAAACCCAGAGTAAATGCTAATGCTTTATCCATAAAGAATTTAATTGCAGAGTTGTGTCTGTGTGTCTGTGTTATATAAAAAGGTATACGGCAGGCACTGAGGTTGTAACTCAGTGGTAGAATGCATGCTTCACGTGTACAAGGTCCTGGGTTTGACACTCAGCACACACACACTAAGAGGGATATGGCAGTAACACTCTTTCTCCTCTATTTTTATTCCATAAGCCATACAGTTTAGGTAACCTATCTATGGTTAGAGAAAATTTAGTGACTGTAAAATAAGGCTGGCTGGCGAATGGGTTCAAGGCAGTTGAGACAAGCGTAGTTCAGAACAAAGAGAAAGCACTGCTTGTTTGTACAGGACACACTTGGAAGCCCAGTCTTAGGGAGCCATGGGACTGTACAAGAGGGAGGAGAGGCCCAGTAATTGTGGTCTGGAATCCATATAGATTTTGAGCAAAAGAAAAACACGGATACCAAATGCCAAATCCCTAAATCTATAAAATATTCATTAGACCTCAGAGGTGCACAGGGAAGGTAGAACTTCAACTGACTTACCTGGGTAGGTCAAATGCCACCACATAACAGCTAAGTCATACTCATCCTGTATATCAGTACTGAGTAAATCTATTTCAATTGTGTACACAGTCAAGGGAATGGAAAATATTCTGTATCTCTCAGCAATTTCCCAGTAGAGAAGGCATTAGTACATCTACTTTTTTTTCAGAGCACACTGAGCCTAATATGTTGCTCTGAGAATGGATATACTTTCAATAGGTTAACTGCAGGCTTACTTATAGGTCTCAGTCCAAAGGCCCTTTGGCTGCAGAGTTTACTTACTTATGATAGAAAGAACCACGACCACACAATCAAATAAATTCCAGCCATTGATGAAGTAATATTGCCTCAGAGCAAAGACTTTGATGAGACATTCTGCTGTAAAGATAATCACAAAGATTGTGTTGAGATGTTCAAGGACTGAGTCTGTGTATGAGGATTGGTCTCGTGTCTCAACCATCATACAAACCATGTTTAGGACAATGAGACTCATGATGAAGACATCAAAGACCTGGTGTGTGACCACGTCAAACACAAGACCTTGACATTTGTTCTGAGGAGAGAGGGAGAGAAAAAGAAGAAATCACTGATCATTTTAAGTTTTAATCACTGAATTGCATACATTACAAAGGCATGATAATAGGGCAGCTTTTGATCTTTCTTACAATTAAGGTGGCTCCTTGAAAAATGCACAGATCTTTCTCAAAGTGCAAAAAATTAATATATAGGTCCCTGAGGTTGCCTTATTTAAATTTAAATTTAATTAGTTAAACAAGAGGCTTCAATGAAAGTGTTTAGGCTTATAGTTTTAATTTCACATCAAAACCAAACTACAGATTAAAAATCTTACTAGCAACATGACTTTGCTGTCATGGAGGATATTATTTCGCTGAAATAAAATAGCTTGCATTGGCTTTAATACTAAAACTATGAACCCCAATCTCTAAATTTCATCTGATTCTGATTTTTTACTTCAACAATATTAATGCAGAAAATATCAGCTTGCTTACGTCTCTCAGGAAAAAATAGAATGAATAACTAACTCCAAGGCTCTGTTTGCCCGTTCAGAATAACTTATACTTAACCAGAACTCTGTATTCAACTCTGTATTAATTGGAGTCTGCTGCCTAACTAATTAAATTCTGGAATACCAGTTTTCTAACTCTTGCTAGAAATGGCTAGACAGATCAGATTCTAATCCAATGATTACTGAAAAATGGAAACAATAGAACCGGTTATACCCTGTCATTACTGATGGTGACCTTGCGCACTGGCCTCTGTGCAGACAGCCATGCTGCCTGCAATGTGAAGGTTGTTCTGCTCCAGGTCCTGATTCTAGGGTGCATGCCGAATCAATCATGGGAGGCGAAATGACTCAATTATCCCACCATTTCTTTCATGTAACTGCCATAAGGTACTACGTTTGCTCTTGACAGAATGGACAGTGTTCTGAAACACAAATCCACCACTGAAATTGGATGGCTTCATGAGTATATGTTCGTTATTTTACAATACATGCATATGGATTGTTTTATATTATAATGTATGTACCTGTACATAGATTATTTTGTTATTGTCTAATCAAAATATGAATTCACTGTTACATTTAGAGAACTCAAGAACCCCTAAGAATATATCTTTAGACCTCCCAGGGATCTATTAATCTGTACAAGACCTGTACTGGTCTGTGGGGCTAACAGGAAAGATACACCATGCAGCTTTAAAAGCTAATGTGGAGGAGAAGCAGGAGCAGCCAGTGTTGAATTTAGGGAGCTGTGAAGAGATCAGGCTGAGGCTATTGTTTCTGGCTGGTGGATCCAGTTAATGTCTAGAGAACAGAGGATAATTTGCAGGGAGCTAGATATGAGACCTGTCCTAAAAAACTGACTGAGAGGTGCCAGTGGAGCATCTAAGGACCATGAACAAGTGGAAATAGGTACGCAGTCAAGGAGCTGGGATGAAGATATGGGTTCAATGCCATCAACACTGATATGACTTAAAATCACGAGAGCGCACACTGCCATTCCGGGAGAGCAGAGGCAATGAGAGGAAAGGGGAGGAGTAACACTCCAGGGAGACTACATTTACATCGGTAAGTTTTAAACTATGTGCTAGGAGCTCTAGGCTTGGATCAAGGAGCCAGGAGAAAGCACGGGAAAGTCAAGTGCATTTCCACTGTGAGAAGGCATCTGAGAAGTCAGCAAAGAGATGGAAAAAGACACTGTAGAACAAGGGAAAGAAGAAACATACGGAAGGGTAAGTATTGGCCTATGGTTAGTTCTAACATTTAGACAGACGGAGATTAGGAGCAGAAATTGCCTAAAGCTTTAGATGATCAAAAATCACTTCAGAATGTGCAGTGACTCCTATACCTCAGTGTGATTTTTAATCCAAGTAAGGAAGCCACCTTGTGGGGGGCTGCATCAGGGAAAGTCAGAAATGATTTCAAATTCCTTCCTGTATTGCTAGGAATAAAATGCATCAACACTTGGGCTAGAACAGCTGAATTTTCCTCCCTGTGTTATTGTCATTTCTATTTCTTTGTTCCAAAGGTTAAAATATATAAGTTTAGAGGTTTAAAAAATGTCTGGGAAGGTAAATTTGTGAGTAAAGGGCTAACAGCCAACTTGACGTCTTAACTCAGATTCAGGGACATCTGGGAATATGATGCTGGTTTATCTCATGTCCCACTGCTCTCTGGAATATAAGAGTTAAGATAAATGTGCAGCCTTAACTGATGAGATTGGATCTGGTGTCAGAAACATTCACCGAATATCTGATTGGTGAATTGTGGCTACACTGGGTGGGCTGTGGTTTGTTGACTGATACCAACATGCCATGAAACATGGTTAAGAAGTGGAGGGGGCAACTTTCCTGAGAGTAAGTGGGCCATGTCCGCTTTAAATTGATGTCTTATTGCCCAGCATGCCTTGTGCACAGCAAGGGCCAAGAAGCTGTCTCTGTTCATCGGTGTGGTGCTGCATTACTTGAAATAAACTAGTATATATGTGGGAACATACTGTGTCTCGTGAGTCTTTGAAGTGATTCTAATCCCCAGACAAAATGGTATTGCATCAGCGGTTGTACAGAATGCACATGTAAACAAAGAGTCATTGTGTGTTTTGTTGTCTCAAGTTCAAATAGAACACTGAAGTGAATGTATTACTAGAAAGTAAGAGCATTATTTTAAAGCCAGATTCAACTCAGATAAATTGAAATTTCACATATTTTTGACTGATGAAACTTCTCCAAGTAAAAGTTTACCCTTCGCTGGGCGTGGTGGCGCATGCCTGTAATCCCAGCACTCAGGAGGCTGAGGCAGGAGGATTGCTGTGAGTTCGAGACTAGCCTGGGCTACACAGTGAGTTCCAGAGCAGTCTGAACTACATAATGAGACCATATCTCAAAAAAACAAAACAAACAAACATAAGTTTACCTTTAATCCTGTGGCCAAAAAGCCTTCACTGTATAAAGGATACATTCTAAATATTTGACCCTAACATTCACAAACATTCTTTTTTTTTTTTTTTTTTTTTTTTTGGATTTTTGAGACAGGGTCTCACTATGTAGTTGAGACTGCCCTGGAACTCACTATGTAGCCCAGGCTGGTCTCAAACTCCCAGTGATCCTCCTGCCTCAGCCTCCCTAGTGCTGGCATTACAGGCATGCACTACCATGCCTGGCACAAACATTCTTAATGTAACACAAATATTTAATCCTAGTGGGATGAACTCTGTGCCTTAAAATATGTACTTCATTTAACAAGCGATTAATGAGAACATGCTTGATGCTAGGCTCTTTATCGATGTCAGGAGTATCAGTGTGACTTTGATCATTTTGGATTTCATGTTCAAATGAAAATCTCCAAATCCTCTGTATGCTTCAAACTGTAAACCTATCATCTATCCTGCTCTCTCCAGGTGTTAGTCGCCCCCCCCACTGGTCCTCCTTGCCATGAAAGCATTCAAACCTACTGGTCAGAAACATAAATGATGCCTGCTATATTACCAGTTAAGAATACTTAAACTGAATTGCTTGGGACCAGAAATAGATTTGGATTTTAGAATAGTTCCATATTCCTTTAAAGAAAATGTCATGGGGATGACACCAAAATCTGAATCTGAAATTTATTTATGTCTTACACACGCCTTATACATGGAGCCTGAATGTAATTTTATACAATGTTTTCAGGGCACCCATATTTTTTGATCTATCACACAAGGTCAGGTGTGGGGTTTTCCAATTGTGACATCATGTCAGCAATCAAAAGTTTCAGATTTGGGGTTTTGGTCTAGGGATGTTCGGTCTGCAGTTTATAATCCAGTGTTCTCAAGTGTGTATACAGCAAGGCATCCATCTCTCCAGTTAGACCTCAAGCACAGAGCGGCACTGGGTATTTCTATCTCGTCCTGTAATACTTGATAAAGTCAGACTCAAAGACAGCAAAGGTCTGTGAGTTAGGGGCCACAGGTGAAATCCAGCCAGATTCCTATTTTGGTTTTATTTTGCCCATGAGCTCAGAGTGGCTTCTGCATGTTTTTATGCTCGGGGGTGGGGGGGATCAAAAGGAGAATAAATTTTGTAACACCTGAAAATTGTAAGAAATTCGAGTTTCTGTGTCTGTAAACACAGCTGTGCTAGACCACAGGCACACTGATGAGTTCTCTGTCTACTTGGTGCCACAGTAGCTGAGCACAGTAGTCCAGCAGCAGTGGCAGAAACCACAGGGCCAACCAAGACCAGAAGACTTCCTGTCTGGGGCTTTACAAAAAAGCTCCCCACCCGCTGATGCTCAGAGCGATTATAAAGACTTGTGACATGGAACTGAATACACAGGCCCTCGCCCTCCCCTGCCACTGCATTCATACCTGCAAAGGATATTATAAATGCATTTTAAACTGGTTATGTTCAAACTACCTGCTAGGTGTGTGTCGTGGCAATGTGCATATATTAAACACCTACAGTGAGTTTACCAAAAATTAAAATTGTTCTCCAGGCTGATACAGATAAATATGAATATTTAATTTGCTTACGGACTTGAGTGTACCTGGGTTCTCGAGTTCTTAGGCAATGTATTTAATTTTAAAATTTCTGCAAATTTGGACGGCTCTGAAGAAATCTGAGTTCCTCATAATTGCTTATCGGATCTATGTATTCAGAATCATTCAATTGCTCTCACCAGAGGTCTTGGAATGGGTTTTAGAGGTTTTTTGGTTCCTAATTTTTTCATCGCATTATAGTATTTCTTCTGTTCTTCTGTCATAAAAATGTCTTGGCCACCTAAGTATATGAAGGACATGAGAGCTAATTACCTTTTAGAATCAAGTTCTACATTTTAAGAAATAATCTTAAAATTAAGAACAATTTAAACATTTTTATTTATATCAATTCTTTCAGAAATTGCAATAGAAAGCAAAAGAAGTTGGACTCTAAGGGACAGCAAAAAGGAAACAGTTTTTCAGTTAAGGAACAAGGGGACAAAGTAAGGTTATTTTTATCAGTTTTCTTTCTCTCTCTTTCTTTCTTTCTTTCTTTTTCTGGAACAGGGGATCAAACTCAGGACCTTGCACTTACCAGGCAGGCAGGGTGCTACTGAGCTAAATCCCCAGCCTATATTTTACATTTTGAAACACACATTACAGACATCCCACAAAATCTTCATAAAATCAGATATGTGTCAGGTTTTATAAATTAAACCAAAATGCAACAATAATAGGAATTAGTGGTGGAACAAGATGTCAGAGTAGGAGTAGGCAGCAGTTCATAGCTTCTCCGTGACCTGGAATCAAGACAGCTAGAAAACAGATAAAAGAAGAGCTCCAGGGATGAAATGAGATGTACCAGGACAGCTCAAAGTCACAGAGAAACAGAAAGGCAGCACAGAGAAAAGGGTGAAACAGTCTGCAACACCAACGCTGGTTCCTTGGTGTGAGGAAAACCCAATTTTGCAAATACAAGATGACCCCACAGTGGGCCAGCAGTCTCAGTAATGAACAATCCAGTGGTTCTAACCCCAGAAAGAAAAAAATCCACAATTACTACAAGTGGTAAACCCAGTGTGGGGTTTGACTCTGAAAGTAACTCCTCTCTCTTGGCAGGGTAGTTTTGGAGAAGAAACCCACCACAGCACTATGTCTCAGAGAGGTATAACCAGGAATCATTTTGAGGGCTTATTGTCTGAAACTGAGCTACTCCAGTGAAGTCATGGAACAAACGCACTTCAAGATCCCTGGAGACATCCTGTCACAGTGACTGGGTATGAGATATTCATGAGAGACAGTCGGGGGAGGGGCAGTGCTAGGCACAGGCTCCCTGAGAAGTTTAAGCAGCTGAGAGCTCAGGCTGTGGAGGCCACAGAGGTCCTATCCTTTGTGGTGTGTGGCTTTCTGAGGAGACTGAGTCTAAAACTGCCAGGATCCAGTTCAGCAGATTGTTCAGCTCCCCTCACTACCCCATTCCAGAACAGAACTCAGTGTTCTGTCTGCTCTACTCGCATGCCCAGGATCTCAAGGATATGCCTCTGCATGGCTGCATGCCACACCTCTGGGATGACTAAGGGACTGCTGGAGCAAGCGGGGGAAACTCACCAACCTACAGGCCACTAATGTATTTGGGAATAGCAATGGCTAAGGGCGTATAGAAAGACACACACATTAGAAGCCTCTGGAGTGAACGGAGCCCTGAGACAGACAACATATCATTAATTAGCCCCATCTAGCAGGAAAGGCCAGGATCATAAAACAGCATGTTAGTGGGTTTGGAAACAACAGGCCCCAGTTGTGACTATCATTCCTCCATACTTGGTAGATTCCGATGTTACAGATCTGGAAAAGAAACATTCATCTGCACACCTCGGTGCACAGAAATTTTTTGGACTTGATTTTCTTTTTTCATTTTTTGCCATTTTTCTTTTTTTCATTCTTTTCTCTTTGTTATGTGTTTGTTCTTTTTTTCCTGTTACTTTTACTTAATTTTATCTACTTTTAAATTCTGTAGTTGTACTTTTGTCTCACTCTATTCTCTTCCTCCTTTTTATATTCTTCTCTTTTTTAAGGTTCTACTTATTTAATTTTTCCCCTTCCCTGTCCCCTCCATTTTTATTATTATTGCTTTTTTAACTTTTATTGAATTTTAACTTTTTTGTTAACCTGTATTATTATTATTTCTGCTATCTTTTCTATTGTCAATGGTGATATGGTTGCTGTTAATTGGTACTGACTATATGTCACCATCCAGTTTTTCTTTGTGTCATTGTCATTAATGCAGTTTGTTTTCTCCTCTTTGAGTGGCTAGAGATCAAGCACTCAAAAGGAGGCTGAACACTAGGACCTTAACATAAATGTGGGAGAGCTATGCCCTCTCAAATGCACAAATCTTAACAGAGAAACAAGAAGTAGGAGAAGATAAGGCAACATGGCTCCTCCAAACATTCACAACTCATGAGTAACTGAATGCAAAGATACAGAAATGGATGAAATGTTGGACACAAACTTCAACAGACTCATCTTTTTAATGATTAATGACTTCAAAGAGAAAACAAATAAACAGATGAATGAATTAAGAAAGACAATGTGGGATATGAAGAAACAATTCAAAAAAGAGGAGATTTTGATGAAGAACCAAACAGAAATCTTGGGGGAAAGGTACAATACGTCAAATATTATCAGTGAAAAGTCTTACCAAAGGACTCAATCAAGCAGAATTTCAAGGCTTGAATATGAGACTGATGAATTATTATACTTACTAATAAAGAAAAATATAAGAAATTATAAGCAAAACATCTAAGAACTCTGGAACACAGTTAAAAGGCCCAATTTGTGAATTTTTGGTGTAGAAAACAGTGCCAAGATTCAGATTAATGTCATGGAAAAACTACTCAATAAAATAATAACAGAAAACTTCCCATATCCTGGGAAAGACATGAATATCCACAGGAAAAATTCAGCATCCACAAAAAGAAATGAAAAGAAAAAAGACCTACCCACATCACATGATAGTCAAAATATGAAGAGTATAAAAGGGGATGTGAGGGTGATCTGGTGATCTGTTGTCCCACTGATCTTCAGGATTGATTCAGCTGATACAACTGGCTAGGCATGTGTCCCCTCCTCCCTCACTGCTCCATGTGTGTCCTTCCTGAAGCTGTGTGCTTGGCCAAAGAGGACAACCACCCCTGATAGAGGAGGACCATTTCCTCAGTCAGGGGTATATGAGTAGCTGCACTCCCCTGCTAGAATGTCCAGACAAGCTCTTAAGAGTACAGAAGAAAGAAGGAATACTGAGCACTACAAGAGAAAAGTGACAACTTACATACAGAGGCAAACCCACTGAAATAGATACAAACTTCTGTACAGAAATTCTAAAGGTGAAAAACGCATGGAACAATGTATTTCAGAACCTGAAGAAAATCACTGCCAGACTGTATTATTATATCCATCAAACTGAAGGAGAAATAAAGAGCTTCCAAGATAAGCAGAAAATAAAGAAATTCATGATCACCAAGCCAGTGCTGCACAGAGGAAATCTACAGGAAAGCTATACACAAAAGAGGAAGAACAGATAAGCTATTGGGGATTAAGAAAAATCAAACATTAGAAGCAAAACAAAGTTGCAGAATTTAGAACATACCTTTCAATAATAGTTGACTGTAAATGGTCTCTGTTCTCCAATTAAAAGATAAAGACTGGCAGACTGAATTAAAAATAAAATCCAGGGCTGGGGATTTAGCTCAGTGGCACTGCAAAGTCCTGAGTCCGATCCCTGGTACCAAAACAAACAAATAAAAACAAGACCCAACTCTTTTCTGCCTATAAGAAACACACTTCAGTAGCAAAGATATTTGCAGGCTGAAAGTCAAAGCATGGAAAACAATATTCAACGCAAATGGAATCTGAAAACAAATGGGAGTAGCTATACTCATATCTGACAAAGTGGACTTTAAGACTAATAAGATTAATGAGTAGATTTCAAAATTCATGAGAGAGACAAAGATTATACTACCTATGGATAAAAGTACATGAAGAAGACATAATAATTTTAAAACATTTGCACCAAACAATGGTGTGCCCAATTTCATAAAACAACCACTGCTTGACATAAAGGGAGAGAATGGTGCCAATACAATAGCAGTGGGTGACTCCAAGACTCCACTCTCACCTAACAGGCAAGTCATCCAGACAACAAAAACAAACAAACAAAAAAGAAACATCACAACTAAACTATATCATAGATCAAATGGGTTTAACAGACAACTACAAAACATTCATTCAAGAACTATACAATACACATACTTTTTAACAGCTTGTGGAACATTTCCCAAAACAGATCACATTTTAGGCTACAGAGGAAGTCCTAACAAGTAAATAAAAAAAGTTGAAATAATTTCTTGCATCTTGCCAGATCATAATGAAATGAAACAACAAGAGAAACTAGGCAAAAACATGGAGGTTGGACAATTCACTTTTGAATGATCAATGGGTCATTAAAAAATCAGAGGAATATTTAAAAATTCCCAACCAAATGAAAATGAAAACACACCCTCTAAAATACACACACTGACAGTAGTTTTAACAGGAAAGATATAAATGCCTACATAAAAAACTCAGAATCTGAGCCAGAAAACATTTCAAAGAAAGAAAAAGAAGAGAAATAACAGTAAAGAAAAGAAGGAGAGAGAAGAAAAGCAACTGATCATTAGAAAAATGTAAATTGGAACAACAGTGAGGATATTTCATAATCATTAGGATGGCTGCTATGAAAAAATATATAAAATAAACATCAGCAAAAATAAATGGATCCTTGGCATTGCTGGTAGGAAGGTAAAATGCGGCAGCCATCTGATCTAGTAATTGTACTTCTAAGTATAAACCCCAAAGAACTAACACCAGGAACCCGAACTGATAGTTATATGCACATCAATGTTTATAGCAGCATTGTTCACAATAGCTAAAGGTAGAAATAACACAAATGCCAGTGGCAGATGAATGGAAAAACAAAATGCACACATATATGCACACGATTACAGATTATTCACCTCTAAAAGAGGAATAAAATCTTGATGTGTAGATGAATGCTGAAGAGGTAGATGAAATAGACCAGACACGAGATGATATTGTATGATTACATTTATAAGAGGAATAGTCAAATTCACAGAGCAAGAAAATAACAAAACTGGTTACCAGGAGTTGGGAGAGAGGAAAATGATGAATCATTACTTAATGAGAACAGAGGTTCTTTGTGAGATGACAATGAAAATGTTTGGGAAGACTGTGATGATGGCTGTAC